TCTTCATCCCATCCAGCCAGCAGAAGGAGGTTCTCTATGTATCTCCGTTGGGTGAGAGATGTTCTGCAAATATAAAGACAGAAAAATAAAGGTTTCTGTCCCAGATGTGGATCAGCTGGGTCTTGGAGAATGAACACAGCAGGCTGGAAAGCAGGAGGTATCATCAAGTGAGAGTGCAAACAGAGAAGTGGAAGAAAAGTCTGGAGTTACTTGAGGAAGAAGTAGTACCAAGAACTGTTTGTGGAACAGAGGTGTAAGCTTAGGCCCCATGTACAATCAGGCTGGTAGTGTTAAGGAAATGCAAAGAGATTTAGCTGTACTGTGCCTCAGTTAGTGATTTGTATCTAAGCACATCACTGCATTATCAGGACATGGGGTCATCACTCCGATTAGCACTGAAATGAAAGTGTAGACCCCTTCACCTGACCTGTCTATAAATATTTGCCTTTTACTCAAGAGAGTAAAATCTAAAGCTTTTGTGGAAAATATTAAACATCTTATGCCAACTGCTTATTTCTTTTAGTGCTTGTATTGTGTTAGAAGATCTAGGAAGCATTTTTATGTTGGAGCCTTGTTATGTTGGATACCATGTTGGTTTGCAGACGGTATTGCATGAGGCCGAGACTCCACAGCTGTTAAAGAAATAACAGAAAAAAAAAATGCCCCTCCATGTATTTAGCCAACATGGAATTTAAACATAACTCCAAATAAGTTGCCACAGTTTTATACTCATGGAAAGCATTATTGCATTCTAAATGGCTGGTAGGCAAACAGCAAAGATGCCAGGACAAACACTGGGTAGCAACAGCCATTTCCCTGCCCTTTCTCTGCAGCCATCTGTGACACAAGAGCTTTCATTCCCATGGAGCTAGTCCAGGACATTCAGAAATGCAGAAATACAGCTTAATACTTTATTTCTCAAATCTGAACCAAGGAGAATGTCAAAATCTCAGGAAGTGGCTGCGCTTCTGAATAAACCTCTGTAAATTTCCTGTCACAAGTGATGACCTTCAGCAATTTAAGAAAATAACTTGATGTATCTTCAGAACAACACTAAATTCCATGAAGTATCTCTTTAAACTCCTTATTACTAAATGGAAAAATAAATTTACCTTCTCTGAAGCCCAAAAAAAAAAAAAAAAAAAAAAAAAAAAAAAAAAAGTTATATTTTAGTTATATTTTGTCCATTTATTTTTTTTTTAGTTAAGATATTATTCTAAGAATTCAAAAAAGAATGTGGGTTTCTATAAATTAAATAAGATTTCAATGTATGACGTTGTTGGAGCAGAGCAGTTCTCTTTGAAGAGTGTGATTTGGCTGCTTTTTGCCTTTTGGCTTCATCTTCAGGTTTAAGGACATATTTTACTTGTAATAGGATTATTTACACCCAAACAGGCTGCAATTGCAGAATAATCATTTAGATTATTTTAGATTTAGATTACCAAGTAGATTTAGATTTAGATTACCAAGTAGATTTGCCAGCTTCAAAAGACCAAGCAGCACCAGAAAAGCCTGAGCTCTGTAGGGCCATTCATAGGCCTGTGGATAAGCGGGAAGCTGTGGACATGGAAAGTCAGGACCAGTTTTTCAGCTTGCATGACCCCACACTCCAACTAACAGTACTGAAAAGAAACAGAGGAATCCTCATTCGAGCCTCCAACAGTAGCTTGCTTCATCCTGGAGTAAGAGAGCGAAAGGTATGGCTACATCCATGAGAACCAATAGTCAATCATTTTTTGGTAGTCTTGGTAAACTGGTGCAAGTTTAAACAATAAGAGTTATTCATTAATAATATGCGCAAACAACTGGATTCAAGCTCGATTGAAACACAGCTAATTGCAAGTTTTCAAAATTCACGACATCAGCCCAGAATTTCATGGTGTTTTAAAGTAAAAAAATATATTTCAAGGTTGCTGGGTGGTTTGTTTGTTTGTTTGTTTTTTCCTTTGTGGGCTATTTTTACTTGTTCACGAAACTGAAGATTCAATGCTTTCAAGCTTTTCTTTTCAAACCCAAGGACCCAGATATGAAACAGGAAAACTCAGATTGTCATGTAGTCTTATCACTCCAGCACTTGGGGTTCAGAAAGGCACCATATCTCACAAGGTGCTGAGGGCAAATCTGACCGCCATCCTCCGACTTTTGCCTTATATTTTTGCTTTGCTGCCAAAGCAAACACAAAGTACCTGGAGAATTTTCTTGCTCATCAGCTGCCATCTGAGCAGAAAATATTAGTATGTTTACATTTTATGAAATAAGGTTCTTTAAAGAGCTTAGATCCTGAAGATAAAGTTGCTAAGCTATCTAGTGATACTGGTTTTGTTTATTTGGTCCTTCCTCAATGCTCATATGAAACTCTGTAATTCAGCACATTAATATCAATGCTGATTAATCAAAAATACACATTTTTTTCCAAAAACAGTACAGTGAAATAGATTCAGTGCCTCGTCCATGAGGTGTTTTTCAGGGGAGTTAGCCACACTTACAGCACAAAGGCACACTGTGTTCTCCTCCAGGATATCTATTATGGGCAGATCTGGCTTACTCCTTCACTCCCTGCATCAAATGCTACAACCTATAGCAGATGTACAGATGTACAAGGCTGATATCTTGTACTGTGTTGTAGGGCTCACCAAATTTGAATGACAGTCAGAAGGCACTCTATAGATACTAGATTTGACCTTATTTTCCTTCCAACACAGAGATGTCTATCTCTGACCCATAACTCCAGGAATAAAGAATAGCCTCAAGAGAAATTTTGCAGGGCATGAGCCTCCCACAGCTGTTTTACAAGCTTTCTCTTTCTTTTTAGTGTTTTGTTTGTTTGTTTGTTTGTTTGTTTTTCCCTGATGCTACAGACAGATCACTATATGTTGAAAAATGAGCAGATGCAACAACATTAACGTCCATGTAAGCACTCAAACTGAACAGAGGGGACAGAACTGGGTTCATGTTAAAGTCTGAAAGTTCTGGAATTGACATGAACAACAGTATTTTTCATCCTGTTCTTGAAAGAAATTATTTCCTCAGATTTTCATCCCCTAAGAAAATAAATAAATAAATAAACAAATAAATAAATAAATAAATAGATAAAGCGAGTCAGAAAGTCAATTGTTGTTATGTTAGTTTTCTGTTAAAAGATATGGAGTCATACCTCAAAGCAAAGGACTCAAAGCAAAAAGAACATGAGAAAAGGAAATGCTGGCTACATGCCTTCCTTCTGCCTGCTTTTGCATGCCTACATCTTTTATAAAATTTACCAGGAAAATAAAAACAAACATAGCAGAGATGCACACTTCTGTCCTTAAACCTCCATCACTACCACAGAAATAAAAAGTTTTGATTTTAGAAACTTCTGCGTTAAGAATTCCAGGACATATCTAACAGAGGCACAATGTTTGCATAGTCCACAACTGTACAACGCACAACCGTTGTGTCTCGTACCTGGGACTGCTTTCAGTGATTCAGTCTAGTTTCAAATTGCCAAACATTTCCCATTATCCAGTCCACATAATAATCATTCTGCTCAGCCTAGCACACAAAGTAGTTCACTGATAAAATTATTTTTATTTTTTCTACCATTCTGAGCTTGTAAACGTATGTTCCAGAGCATCCAATACAAGCAAGGAAAAAACTCCCTTTATACTGCAATTCTGTGTGGGCAAACTGTGCTCCTCTAAATGTGACCCTCTGCTCACACAGACTCTTCTCCAGAGCTACTGGAAATGGGCCCTCCAGCACCTGGGTGGGACTGACTCATCTCCCTCATTTTAGCAACTGAAAAGAGTGTTACTCAGTTACTGAGCAGCCTAGACTACCAGACAATTTTTAGATCACAAAATTCAGGTGAGACAAATACCAACTTTGGGACCATATTTTAAAAGATTAAAGGGTTACCGAGAAATGTCATTAAAAGCGCAGAGGCTCTTAGGAAATGTAAGCCCCCAAGTGAGTTATTCACTTCACATTCGTATGTGATTCATGTTTCTAGCTCTACAGGCTTACAAGCTCCCTCTGCCCTACACTTCAGGTTCAGAGCCTCAGAGCTCACAAAGATATATCTTATACCAGGAAGCCAGGACCACCCATTGCTCATCTCCACGAGGACCCATGCACCATGTAGCTTTACTAAAACAATCTAGCTCTTTAAATAGTGTAAAAGGGAAACATTTCTCCTTGCATCCTTTTCTATCACATATGCTCAAGATTAAAAAAAAATCTTTAAAATCAAATCAAATCAGAAATATCTTAATGAAAATAACATGAGGTACAAGCAGTGGAGAGTCAGGGCCAACAGACTGAGATTTGTATGGCATATGAATACTTCTCAACACCAAAAAATATTAGTGATTGCCGGTAGAAGTATTCATCAGTGAAAATAGGGATTTTTCTCATCATTTTGTTTTTTGGATACAATCATGACTTAAAAAATTGGGGAGCAGGGGCACTGTCCCAGATTCCTCTGTCTCTTGCTGTGAAAACAGAATGGTCATAACGGTGCCAGGGACGAGCACAGCGATGAGCCCATGTGGAGCTCAGCCTTTCTAAGAGCTGAAGCACACGTCCTCTACTTCCAGCAGTGCACAAAATTAATTTAGCTGGAGAAAATCAGTGACTTTGGATGTTAGTTCTGTTAAAGCAGCAACTGCAACCAAAGGAAGGAGCAGGATTCTGAAGCTGGCTTTATTTGGCTCCCTTTAGACTTCTGCAGCATAAGATATAAAACTGAATGAGTCAGGGAGGTTATCCTGGTGGCGAGCAGAAGGAAATATGTACCTTGTCAGGTGGGAGTCACTTTATCCTAAAATGGGTGTTTAGAACAGATGCAAATGTAAGGTGAGCATAATGACTAGCACAGAAGTAAACATCTGCAATATAGCTGTCTGAAGCTAAGTGACATAAATTCCATCCTTATTAATACAGAGACACAAGAGCTAAAAAGTGATTTTACAACAGTAGCAAGAAGAGAAATTGCAATCTGGTAAATGCCTGAGACTTACAGGAACAGGACACAGTCTTTATTCCATGTTAAAGCAGATTTTCAAAGACGTGATGAAAGAATGGATGGAGAGGTACTTTATTCAGGTGTCATAGTTTAAACCAGACCAGCAGCCAAACACCACACAGGGACTCACTCACCCTAGGAGGGAACTGGGGGGAAGATAAAGGTAAGGAGACTTGTAGGTTGAGATAAAATAAAGATAATTGAAATAAAATAAAGATAATTGAAATAAAATAAAGATAATTGAAATAAAATAAAATAAAATAAAATAAAATAAAATAAAATAAAATAAAATAAAATAAAATAAAATAAAATAAAATAAAATAAAGAATAGAATAGAATAGAATAGAATAGAATAGAATAGAATAGAATAGAATAGAATAGAATAGAATATACAAATAAGTGATGCACAATGCAATTGCTCACCACCCATGGACCAATGCCCAGCCAGTTCTTGGCTAGCAATCCATGAGGAGACAAAATCCCAAAACCACAATCCTGGAAGAGAGCCAGCTTCCCCACCAACCCTCATCTATATACTGAGCATGACACTGTATGATATGTAATATTCCACTGTCCAGTTTGGGTCTGTTGTTCTGGTTATGCTCCCTCCCAGCTTCTTGTGCACTTGCACACTAGTAGGACGTGAGATGTTGAAAATCTCCCCTTGATTTCTTAGCAACAGCTACAAACATCTGTACATTATTAACATTCTTCTCATACCAAATCTCATACTGAATCCAAAACACAGCACTACTGTATCTACTAAGATTAAAAAAAAAATAAATAAAATTAGCTCTATCCTAGTCAAAACCAGCACATCAGTGCTGCTCCTGAGAGGGACAAAAAGGGAGGATGCCTGGGCATGCTCTGACTGACAGCACACAGTACGTGGCCATAAGAGTTGGACATTGAACTGTGGATCTAAAAATAATGCACTCAGCCATCTTTGCAGTAAATATATTTTAATTTATTTTTTTTTTTTTAAAACATGTTGACACAACAAAATAGGTAACTTTGGTACCATTGAGTAGAGCCAGCCATAAATTCTCTACTAAATACATTTGGATAATAAGTAACCTTAGGATAAAAATCTATTCTTACAAGAATAGTAATGAATCATCATGCAGTGAGCAAAGGGATTGAAAGATGCAGCAAATGCCCCTGCTACTTAAAGAAGAGACAGACCAAAGCTCTTTTAGTCTCTTTTTTGGGCTATTAAGTTTTTATTTTTGTTTTGTTTGTAATAATTAACGTGCCCTGGACAAAGGCAAAAGAGAAAAAACTCAGATGTATTACTTGGTCACCGTAGCTGTTTGTCCCTATTTCACTGAGTCCTGCATTATTTTCTAGACTCCCTGGGAGTCTACCCTAAAGAATTTGGGGAAATCTTTAACACTGAGATGTTTCCTAATCTGGAACTATAATCTTCTGAGAAACCACATTTACTGACCCTGTCCTAGTGCAGACATCATATCTGCTGCATCCTCCAGCCTGGATCGGGATGGATACTTTTCTGCTTTTTGCATAGTTTCCCTGTATTTCAAATATGAGCTGAAATTGCTGAAGTCACTGCCCAAGCTGTTTAGCAGGCCATCAAATTAACCTTCAGTTTTTAAATCTCTGTCTTATCTCAGATACTCTTGACTTAAATTGGAGTGCACTGGAGTGTAAAGTTAATACTGGTTTACTTTCTCATACTCTATACTGATTTGCTTTTGTCTTCCTTTAGCCGATGTTTGATCCAAAGTGAATCCTTGTTTCAGGTGAGGTTTCAAACCTCTCCTAGAGGATTTGGGTCAGGTTCAAAATGGTCAGAAGATTGTGCTCTGAATCTCATTTATTTCTCGCACAAAACTGTAGAAAGTATAATGTATTGTCCAATGTTGCCATGAGTGCCACTGAAAATGAATGACTTCCCTCATAAAATTTTATGAGATCTCCACCATGTGGATAGATTTTATTGGCTGGACTCTGAACCTCCAAAAGGAGTTTTGTCCTTTTAATTTCCTTGAGCTTTAGTCATCCAAGTTATTAAAGAACACAAAAAGAAAACATGTTTTTAAATGTTAGCTTTTATCTTGGGGATGTCCCTTGTGATTACAATTTTTTGGAAGTTTACTGTGATTATTCTGTCTGATTCAGCAGCTCTGTAGTCCACTGTAGCAGAAAGTATTTGATAATAAAAAAAAGAGAATGTAATGAAACTTGTAATGGTCCAAATAGATACAGTAATTCCCCTTGATTTATTGTTTCCATTATTAGCCCTTCTCCTTAACCAAGTAGCAATTCTCATTTCTCCAAGTCAATGGCAAAGAGTTCGTCCTGGATCATGAGTTAACACAGTAGCTGGAGGATTTAGAGTGGTCAGAATTCCTACCAGCAGTCAAAAATGCCAAGAGCAGCCGTGGTGCCAAGGGCATCAAGACACAGCTCTGCTTGTACTTCCTTGGACAGCTATTGCAAAGGTCCCAGGAGCTAACAGCTAACGGTCTGCCAGAGGCCAGGAAAGAGTCTCCTTTTACTGCATAGTTAACAAAATAAGTGGCTTAGTTGGTAAACACAGCCTTTGGCTCTTAACACAGGTTATAGTTCTGAGATTTATACTACCAAAGCCTGACCAAGGTCACATTTCTTGACTGCTTTGCTGAGCTGGATTGTAAGGCTTCTGCATGCTTCTGCTGGCCTTTCTCAAACCTCATGGTCATTTTTACAGCTCTACTTGTAAGTTGGTGCTTATCCTGCCGCTGATAAAGGGCTTGGAAGTACAAAGTGAGAGGAGAAAAAGGTGCAGAAACCAGGAGGCAAATAGACAACAGTCTATCTATAAAAACTGCTTTAATGATTCATTTAAGCGTTTGCCTAAACACTGCAAGTGTGAGGCAGGTGATGGGGTAGCCTTGTCCTGCAGCATGCAGCATGGACCGCTGTACCAGCTCCTCTAGCACATACCTGTACCATGCTGCCATCCCACTGTGCGAGTGGCACAACTTGTTCTGTGCTGACTGCCATCCCTGCGGAAGGTCTTGGAACCTACTGAAGGGAAATGTGCAGCAGTGTCTTCCATCTCCTGCCATTACAGAGCTGTCACCCACTGGGCAGGATACTTAGAGCTGAGAGGGTAAGGGAGGAGAAAATGCTGTGCTCTAGCTATGGGAATTTAATGGCTTTGAAATAGGTCCAGAGGTACATGAATTAGCCTTGCTATAGGGTACCAAGAGTGCCAGCCACATGCAGAATAAACTTGTAAAATTCTTCACAAGCGAAACATAACTTTCCTGCTTTCCCACCAATCCTGTCTGCAGAATGACTCGGATTACTTTTTTTTTTTTTTTTTTTTTTTTTTTTTTTTTTTTTTCCCTGCATATTATCTCTTCTGCCCTCTTAACTGAAAAGGATGCTCTATTCTCTGTGCGTCCCTTGATATCAGAATAGAGGGGTTTAAGCACTGATAGATGCTTTCTGCTATTTTTCCATTTCCTTTCAAATGTAAAATTCTGCAGAGCCTATTCACTCCATTTCAACGAATACTCTGCTTCTATTTCACAATTAATACTGTTGTGAAGGAAAGAAATGCCATGCAGAAGGAAAGATAAAGACCTCATGCTAGAAGACTCAGGCAAATGGAGTCTAGGAAGGTTGATTTGCCCCTTTTAAACACAATATAGACCAACTATACGTTTGTTTGTTTAGAACTGCATGGATTTATATTGCAGCTTTGCTGCAGCACTGTCCTAGAGAGCAGTCCAGGTTAATACACCACTCAAGTGGGTGACAGCTGAGCGACACAAGAACTGGCAGAAAATTAAATTAGCAACTAATTACAAGTTAATGACACAACAATGATTATGTTAGAAAAAAAGATTTTCAAACTCTAGCCAAGTATAATGTAATCTAATGACAGTGCTAGGGGATGTAGAAAGTAGCTACGTATGTATTGCATACAAGCGTATGTAATTTTAAATTTCAGAGGGACCATGAGCCATGAGGTAAGACTATGAGTAATAGGATGAAGTTATGCAAAGGAAACTTTACGATGAATTACAAGAAAAAATAATTAGCTCCACTGAGGTAGTTTAGATTCACAGGTTCTCAAAGGAATCAGGAAAATACCAATATATTTGTCACCTAAAAACAATGTTTTATATATTCTAGCCAGTAGATGTTTTGAGCCTGGTCCCTTACTGGCCTCTGAGGATTACAGTAGAAATCTAATACCACATTTTAATCAATGCAGGTTTCTGTGAGCCTGTTTGTCTAAAGGCTCAGATGAGACTTTTTACTGCCTAGAGAAACATGGATTTGCCTAGTGGAATTTTTAAAGGCACCTTAGAACAAGATTATATGTCCTACCTGCCTTTTTAGGATCCTAAATATCTTCAAAGTGTGATCTCTAGTGCAAAGATGAAGAGTGTATGTGACTATCATTAAGCCAAACTCTCAATTAATAAAATTGTCTTGTGGCAAACAAATCGTTAGGAAAATGATGAACAAGATAGTATGCTTCAAATACAACTTAGGAATTTCTGGTAATGCCTGATATGATGTGGCATGACTATCATATGCAATAGTAAACAGAACATTTCAAACTGAAAAGGCTGTTCTCTGTTTTTTCTTCTCAGCTATGTAAGAATAAGAAGTGACCAGTTATTGCTATGGAGGTATTACTGGGGATCATTTTCCCTGTGGTCTGCAAAAGATGGAACAGAAAACATTTTCCACTGAATAGGATGAGCACTGCTCTGTGTCAGAAATCATAATTTTGCAGAATCAATAGAAAAATTACGCTGAGTCTAAAATGATCAGCAAAAACCACATTTCCAGCAACTGCCAGCAGATTAGAGCGCCTTACTTTCCTCCCTAGTTTGTCCCCAGAAACCATCTCTAAATTACAGCATTACCATAAGGGCACTGAGAGAAATGAAGCAACTGTTGAGACAGCCCTTCCTTTCCCACTCCAGTACCAGGGGAAGTTGCCGGAACAGCTCCCAATCCCTTTGCAGCCCTCACCCCATAGCCCATCTCAGTGCAATCCTTTCTTCTTTGTATAACAACATTTTTCTGCTTCCTGCTGTCTCAGCAGCTGACTTCCAAGATGAG